AGTGGAGGGAGACGCTGGAAGAGGTTCAGCAGAGAGAAAAGCTTTCCTCGGATTTAGGGAACGTAGTTCCTTCCCTCATGGAGGTCCCAGTGTCTCAGGATGACTCAACATGATATGGGCTCTAATATACAGTGTTGAATGGGTGGGAGAGAAGGAGACAAAGCTTTCACCAACAATGTGACAGGTATGTGTCTGCAAAGTGGAAAATGTGGGGAAAGGCATTCCAGGCAGAAGGAACAGAATATGCAAAGGCACGACACAGCCTAGTCACTTAGGGAACACCAAGTAGTTTGTTAGAGCCAAACTATGAAGCGCTGGGAAAGAAACAGGTGAATGGTGGGGGGCTCTAGCCAGGTAGGCGAGGATCAGCTCCTCACTTCCAGAAAGAGCTGCACACTCCAAGCAAAGAGCTTACAACCTAATCTGAAATTTAACACAGTGGCTGCAAAACCACTTTTGAAATTTCTAGGCACCAATATAATCCCCCAAGCAAATTATGTTTCCTTTGTTCCCCTTCAAAAAAAAGGTGAATTCCCTGCCACTCACTCCCCTAACCAGAAGGTCTGAGATACTAAGAACATCAAGACATCATGCCAAAGAAATCATACAGAGTCTACAAGACTCAGTCCTGATAACGGAGGGGTGATGGGTGGTGTGACCGACAGTCCGTGAGTACTGTCTGCACTTGTCAGGTTCCCAATTCAGAATCCACTAGCAACAAAAGAAACAAATGTCACCTAACCAGCTTTTATTGCCCAATAATGTGATAGCAATGTGCCAGAACAGTGGGGCAGGAGGAAAAAATGGCACCCCAGGGCATAAAAGAAAATTAATTCTGGATAGATTAAAGAATTAAATATAAAATAAAATAGGATTGAAACATTAAAAATAGACTCACTTCCAGCCAAGACAGAGTAACAGGGGCCAAATTTACCCTGCCATCTGAAACAATCACCAAAACAAGACAGAATATATGGAAAAAAAAAAGTTTTCAAGACGTTGGGATCAGGCAACAAAGGACAGTGATTCCTGAGGGCTGCGTAACACACAAGGTAAGCCCTGAGACTGCCTTGAGAGTTTCCAGGTACAACCCAGGAGGGGGAACCTGCAGAATTCCGTGCATGGAAGACTTAAATCTGAGCACCTCTTCCCGCACTTCCACCAGGCAGCGTAGCGCACAGCTGGGCGTTCCACAGCTGCAGGTGGATCAATGAGACTGCAAAGTGGGGCCAGGCATGTGGTTTCCAGAATGGAGAAACCCCGGCGGTACAAGGAGGAGGAAAGAGGTTCGGCCTCAGGCAGCCCTGGGCTTGAATCCCAGCTCTCTCACTTACTAGTTGTGCAGCACTGGGCAAGATACTTAACCTCTCTGAGCCTTAGTTTCCTCACCTGGTAATTGAGAGGATTAGAGATTATATATGTAATACATATGGTATGAAGCAGGTGCTACATAACTATCA